TTTACTACGGTAATTTCTTTTTTTGAACAATACTACTGTAATATCTAATACAAATTTTATAGGCAGTTCAAAATTTATTTTGAGCTCATCTAGATCACATTAGTGGACCTATGTTGCTTGTGGGTAGGTAAGTGTGAGTGCCCAAATTTTTTATTTTATTTTTTTTGTTTTTTTCTTTCTTTCTTTATTTCCAGTGAGACAAGCAGTTGTGCAACACTTCTCCAGTCAAACACTGAGCAAAAACCACATAAGTTATTATTAGATTTGCAAGGAACATGCATTCTCTAATTGGCTTTTTTTTTTGGCTAATTAAAATCTACAAAAAGACAAAATAAGTTAAAATAGTTAATAAGATAAAATATCACATCAAGCCTATAATCATTTCACTTTTTCTCTCACAAACATTACTTTTAATTACAAAAAAAAATTTCAACTCTCTTTCTAAACACACAAATTTTAACCTACTAAATTAGCTAAAAACTAAAATAAACTAAAATAGCTAACTTCTCAAACGAGGCCTATAATAGACAAAACCTGAGTCCTACAATAAACTAATTACATTTCATAGATTTCCATTTGAACTTGATTCACAGTTGATAAGAGCAGGAAAAACAGCTTTAAATTTGATCAACATTTTGCTATTAACCATAATAAAGGGAGTAATTTAAATTTACAAAGCATTTAGCCAATATGACATTTCGAAAGGCACGAATAAAAAAATATGGCATTACATAAGGCATGAATATTGGCAAGCCTAAGAAATCCATTGACTGTTTGTAGCAGCAAAGAAATCCATTATTGAAATTGGAAGGCCATCTCTGTTGCGCCTTAAGGTTGAAGGTCGAAACTGATCTCCTTGTTGATGGATATATGCTTGAGAAACTGGTCGTTTAATAAAATTTTGTTCCGGTTGTGGAAATCCGAAATGATGTGACTTCAAAATCCCATATCCGTTAGCAAAAGTAAAAATGATTTCTTCCTGAGAAACAAACCTGTTTGAAACTAGCAACACAAATAAAAAAATAAAGGAAAACTGTTGAAAGACAGAGAGTTTGGTAGATGTTTAACTCTTCTCCGTTAACAACTTTGCTTTTTCGTTAACTCAAGGGTGGGAATCAACTTTGTATGGTGGCGTGGCGAACAAACTGAAATCTGAATTTGTGTCCAGATTTAATTGGCGCAGAGCACCACATATGATAGGACAAATAGCGTTGTGCTATAAGACTACTGAATAATTTTCCCTTTTGGTATCTGTTTCTAACCACATCCACCAATCACATGTAGTGTTGATCAATAATGCTTAAACTTTACAAACTACATTTATATAGGCATTTAGATTGATTGACTCTAACAATTCCTTTTTAGTTTCTATCCATAGTCATGCTGGACTGTCTATTGAAATATAGAGAAATTAATGAATAAAAAAAATGACAAATTATAAATACATTCTTGAAGTTTATTTAAAATATGAATTATCTCTATAGTTTGAAAAATTATAAATATTTTGTTGTTATAATTTTTTATTTAATAAAATTAACTGAAAAAATAAAATTACTGAATAATTTTTCTAGGAAAAGAGAGAGAGGCCGGCCTCTCACTCTTGTGATTTTTATCTTTCTACTAAATTCTAAGCAAACAAACAAAAACTTCTTGTTTATATCACCTAGATGATTGTCACAATTTGTATGGATTAAAATCATTAGAATTCTTAAAGTAATACATTCTTAAAAGGCGGTGTATTGTTTGCGTTGATCAACAATGATTATAATATTAACCAACTAAGCCTAGTCTAGTTGGCCAACATGACTTTCCTTAGGGCTTAATCCCTAGGGGGAAGTCATGAGTTATACTCTTCATAGGAGGAGTTGAATTAAGGAGGCCAGCACTTGATGCTTTGCAAATGGTAGGGTTAACTTTTATAGATGCTAATCTAATAATTAATAATTAACTTTTGCCGATCCAAAAAAAAAAAATATTAGGTGACCCTGTCATATATTTAATCTGGCCCATTTTCCTAAGAAAAGTATTTCTACAACTTTATTTCCACAATAGCGTGGATTTTTAATTTATTCCCAACATAGGGTAAAGTGGGTTTTGAAAACACATTTTTAAAAACACGTTTTTTAGATTTAAAAGTTGATTGAAGTAATAACAAAAATATCTCATGAGAAGTGTGTTTTCAAAACACATTTTTCATTAAGTTATGTTAAAAAACTTAATTAAACAAAAGTGAATTTTGTAAAAACGCTTTTACAAGAATTATAAATCACATAAAAATATCTTTTAATTTTTTTTTAGCTTAAATATTTTTATTTTCTAATTAAAATATTTTGTAGGTATAAAATGGGTTTTGTAAACTCACTTTTTATTTTTTATAAAATATGTTTACAAAACACGTTTTACGTTTATTCTTTTTGAAGACATTAAAAATGTGTAATAACGTTTTTACACTCTTTTTTAAAAAAAATAAAAAATAAAAAAACAACATAAAAATATTAGTCATTTTTTAATATTTCAACTAGTGTATGGACAAATTTTTTTTTTTGAAGTGTACTTGATAAATGTATCATTAATTATTGTCAACCAATTGAAATGTCATTACTGATCTTGTTTAGTATTTGTTTTTAATTTTTTTAGAAAATCGATAAAATATATATATATATATATATATTTACCGATTGTAAAACTAGAACAATTATATTATTTCGTTCTAGAAACTTTAATATTTGATCTTTTAAACTTAATTCTCATATACAAACTAAATAAACTAATAATTAGTTATAAGGGCTAATAGTCAGCATAACTAAAATGACAAGTATAAAGTTTAACAATTACAAAGATAATTGAAACACAACCTCCCACAATCTCACTGTGAAACACTCAACTTCACACACAATACTAAATTATGGAAAAACTGATATAATTTAGTACACACGTGAAGTTCTAATCCTCACTCAAATTGGAAATCTTAGAGTCCGAATAATCCGAAAGCTCAGAGTGCTAGAGACGTGTAGGATCCTCTGTGATAGCCTTGACAGGGCCAACCCTAAGGTAAGGCAAGTAAGGCCGCCGCCTCAGGCCCCCAAATTCTATCTAAAAATAAGGCCCTGAAATAATTTTGATCTTAAGTTATGTTTGGTTAATTATTTCGGTCTTAAGTTATGTTTGATTTATTAAAATAAAGTTGAATAGAGTAGTCATTTCAATAATATCTATTTTCACGTTTGATTTACTAAAAAAGATTACAAATAAAATCATCATTCACCATTTTGAGGAAAAAGTAATTTTATGATCGAGAAATGACCAATACATTCAATTCAATTACATTTCAGTGAACCAAATACTGCATTATAGTATTAGTAGTTTAAAGGGCAAATTGAACCTATATTTTACCCTCTGTGTTATTTTGGTCCATACATTTTCAATTGGCTTAATTTTGACCCTTACTTTTAAATTTTGTGTCAATTTGGTCCAATTGATAATATCATTAGTGTTTTTGACGTAAAATAATCACTGAATTAGTTAAGGTTAAATCACTGAGGTTAGTAAATTTATAATTTTACTCTAAAAAATGTGACACAAGTTACTTAATTGCATATTTTTTTTACAAAAAAAATGTCACGCCTCGAAAATTGGGCATGATATATTTATTTATGCAACAAAACCCACCTGATAGACAAACACATATATATAGCTAACTAATCATACACCCATTTCCATTAAATCCCAAATGCCAAATAGATGTTGTTCACATCTCAATGCCCCAGTTCTAATCCCAAATATGCATTGTACAACAAATATAAAATGGAAGCCAAACAGATAACAAGTGTCCTACAGGCTTACAAATTTATCCAAAAACATTCTTGGTTACACAAAATGGAGTTTTAACTTAACACAAATTTAGCCCTGGGCTTACATTCAACAAATAATAATAAAACAAAAATGAAGCCTCAGCTCCGAGTCCTCCCAAGTCAATGCCTTGCAGAGGCATAACACCTGTACCTGAAATGGTTTCCCTTATAGGGTGAGCCACAGCCTAGTAGAGATATACTATACAACATATGAACAATGACAAGACTAAAGAGGAGTATGCTCATGCCATGCTCATGATAAAACAGTTTATCTCTCTTTTTATAAAGCATGCAATGCTGAGATGCAACAACAAATATAAAATCATTTCCATTTTAAACCATATCTGTTACATGAATACAAGCTCTGTGACTCTCTAGATGAGTGTCTGCAAGTAGGCCCTAATGCACTACCACTGTCATTTTTATTAGTAAACTGGAAGGCTCGACACCTAATTACGCGGTTCAACACCCCCTACCCAGATTCGCCAAGTATTCATCTTTTCGCAAACAAATATATTTCCAAACATTTCTCAAAAACAGATACATTTCCAATGAAATGAATGTAATGCAATATCCAATGCAACAAATGAGGAATGCGGTTCAATTTACCCAAGTCTCATGCATTTCTACAACAATCATGGCTATCCTCCACCGATAGCCCAAAACAGATATTTCTAAACGAATATTTAAACAATTAAATTCCAAAAAAATTCTGATAAATACAATCTATTCCACGTCTCATCAAATATGAACAACTACACTAGTTTTCATATCACAATCACATCCGGTAACCTCTCAAGGTCCATTTCTAACCGTGTCGGTTTTATTCCAACAGATACATTAAACAAAACAATACCGTTAATGCCCAAGAAAATGTCATTTTCTTTCCAAACTCATTCTCCAAGCATTATTTAGTTATGACATCCTATTTTGATCGAAAGCCCAAAAAATTAAACGTAATTCCTTTGTTTTCTTTAAAAATGCTTTTTTGGTCATAAACCGGTAAAAATTTCAAAACCAATCGAATCGAAGTCCGTTTTTGTTCAAATTTAAAACATAACTCTTTCACAACCTTACAAACATATTCCAAGTTTACACTTTCACAATTTGGGCATCAACTTTGTATTTTTCTCAAAATTTCTCTTTTAAGCAAATAAATCACAATTTTTTTTCAAAAATTCTAATTAAATTATATACAACTCTAAACTCCCTATAATCAAGTAAAAGTGCATAAAGAAGTATAGGAAAAATCCTTACCTCAAGTACGAAGAAAAGCTAATCCAAATTTTCGATTTTGTCGGATTTTGATCTCCACCGATCAAAATGTTGCTCTCACCAAGCTCTTCACTTTGGTCTCAAGAACTATATTTATTGAGCTCTTCAAACAGATGGATACATTGCCTTTTGTTAATATCCACAATTATTTTTATGAATGAGATTAAAGACTTTCCCTAAAATTATTTTCCTCGTACAGTCCTTTTCAGATACTTGTTTTGCAAGCTGACTTTTGAAGCAACGTGAAGCCTTGTATGCAGGAATCCAGGCATCGGGATTGTTAGATGTGGTGAACAAAACAAACATTTGATATAATGCTATGTCGAAAGAAGTAAAAACTGTCTTCCCATGTTCGGTATCTTCAAACAGGACATACGCTACCCAACTGGAGAACAGAAGAAATAAAAACCCAAGAGCCACGACATTGAAGTATGTGCTAAGCATTCCAGCCAAGATGAGGATGCTCTCCCGTAATTCCCTTTAATTGATTAAGATGACTTTTTCCAGTAGATATGAAATCCTTCATAAGAAATGGGAAAGTAGGTATGTATCATGAGAATGATAAGAGTTACACCCTCATAAACAAGAGACTCTGCACCAGTTAAGTATGGCAACTATCCAAGAAAATAGTACTCTCTATTACTGCAAGAATATGCAGAATACTCAGCACACCACAACGGCTTCTCAAGGAAATTTAGAACAACCAAAGCAAAGAAATTAAGGGACCAAAGTAAATCAAATTGAACAAATATGAAGTAAAACTTTGCTGCAGTTTCATAGCTTGACTGATCAAGAATTTGCTCAGGAAGACCAACACCATCTTCAGCCAAATCAACAAGAGTAGCGGCCTTCTGGTAAGGTGAGCCATAAGCGATGGCGTCTGATCTTCGAGGGAAGTGTGATGACCGATCTCTACTCCCACCACCACTGCTTTCTTCCCCAAGAAAAGCTTCTTTATCCATCTTCTTCTTCTTTAGATGAGGGAAAGATCGAGCACACACAAATTGAGAGTGAATTTAGAGATCAGAACTAGAGAGAGAGGCTAGAGAGAATAAGCCATGTGAGAGAGCTTCGATTTGGTTAAAGGGTCAGCAGTGTTGAGAACCAAAGCGTCTATCTCTGCTAGAGAAGAACTCAATGCCATTAGGCCATCATTTACTTCATCATATCCTGAAAGTGCCAGTGATTGGGGACCGGAGGGTCCCTAGAAACGGTTGTGGTTGACTGGGTTCTCTCTCCAGTTTTGTAGACCAGACCATTGTAGATGCTTCAAAAAAGAAGAAAAAGAAAAGGGAAAAAGGAATGAGGGGAAAGGAGTGGAGGGGCACTCCCCCCCCCCCACGTGGTTGCCTATCTTTACACACAAATATATATACTCCCTCCGTCCCAAAATATTGGTCCCTTTTGGGGAATCCAACTTTTTTTGGTAGTACACTTATTGCATTTGAAAAAAGTTGTTTTCCAAAATTACCCTTTTGATAGTACATTTTTTGGGAATATCAATGTCATAATTGTACTTTTAAAATTGTTTATTAATTTAAAAGAAGGGCAAAATAGGAAATTTATATTATTTTTGTACTTGATTTATAAAGAGGGACTAATATTTTGGGACAATGAAAAATGGAATAAGGGACTAATATTTTGGGACGGAGGAAGTATAAATTATAGAGAAATGTTAGCACACACAAATCTCTTAGGCTACATATCCATGTATATATAAATTGGGTGTGTGCGTCTGTGTAATGTGTATTTGAGGGCCCTTTTTTTTTCTTTTTTTTTTTTAATTCTGGATCATCATAAAAAATGCTAAGAGCAAAATCATAAATTCAAGGTTAAAATCGAGTCAATTGAAATTACAGGGACCAAAATGACGTAAGGACCAAAATACAGGGACTATTGTCACAATTTGCTCTAGTTTAAAAATGAAATTTTAAACAAACAATTGAATTGGTGAATTATTTAAAAATAATGGATGGTTATTAGACAAATGTATGAATTATTTATAGAATATTGTTGGGTAAATTATGCAAATGGCCTATGTAGTTTACACGATGTGTCAATTTGGTCTCTGTTGTTTCAATTTGCTCGATTTTGTCCCTTAATTTAATAGATTGTGTCATTTGAGTCCAATAAATAATGGTTGTTAAGTTTAGTGGACAGAAAATCTACGCAATGTGTCAATTTGGTCCCTGTAGTTTACACAATGTGTCAATTTGGTCCCTGCTGTTTTAATTTGCTCGATTTTGACAGTGACCAAATTGACACATGGTGTGAACTACAAAGACCAAATTGACACATAGTTTGACTTCCCGCTCACCAAACTTAACAACCGTTATTTATTAGACTAAAATGACACAATTCGTCAAATTAAGAAACAAAACCAAGTAAATTCAAACAACTGAGACCAAATTGACACATCGTGTAAACTATAGGGACTATTTGTATAATTTACCTAATATTGTTTGACTATACAAATTACAATTGTTTTTGGAGAAATAATTTTTTTTTAAGTTGAAATTAATCAAATTTTCAATTTAATTTACTACGTTAGGAAAACGTGTGAATAAATTAATAGTGTTAATAATCAAAAATATTTAAAATTTATCTCAATAATTATGATTTATGTCAATAATTATGTGTACTATATGCAACAAATTTATAGAAGGTACAAGCAAAAAATAAAAATAAATTGAAGATTGTTACTATTTTAGCAATGTATATATATATTTTAACAATTGTATGAGAATCGAGACCCATCTTCTAAGTTCGTCTTAGGCCCTCTAAAAAGTCAGAGTTAACCCTGAGCCTTAATAACTGTGGGGATATATTTTCTAAGCACCAACACGTGGCCAAGGTGACGCCGACGTGCCAACCGAGGTGCCACGTGTCCTGGTCGTTATGCCGAGGTAATCTCCGAAAATATCAAAATCTGAGATAAGTAGATAAGGGACAAGAGTCCTAGAATGAAGAGGGAACTCAACATGGATGAGGGACAAGAGTCCTAGATTGGGAGAAGACTTCAGTTTGGGTAAAGATAAGACTCTTAGAGAGTTTATCCAAATCCCACTGGGAGTCCCAGATTAGAAGTAATCCTAAGTCCATTAGGGTTAGGCTCCTATTGGGACTAGGATTGTATTGGCTATAAAAGAGAGGCACCCCCATGGGTTTAAGGTATGCTTTTTATGCTCAAGCTTGTGAGTTGAATAATTGATTTATCTTTGAGAGATATTGAGTACTGACTTGATCGTCGGAGTACCCCCGGGTGGCGAACCACCACCGAAATCTTCTCTTTTTGTTGTAGGTTAGACATATGCCATCTATTCTGCTGGTGCTCTCTAGCTGGATACTAAGATTGCAGTGTGGTTAGATTTTCACCCACACAATTTGGCGCTGTTTGTGGGAACGAAAGGAGAATAGATGACCACCACCGTACAAGATCAACGTGTCGGAAACGACTAGTTTAGCAAGGATGGAGAATGTGTCGACATAAACGGAATGAAGACCCTTCCAGAAGGGATACAAAGACAGGGGGCATGCGCACTCCCAAGAAGATGACATTCAAAGAGCTCAACCTGAATGAGCAGATCCAAGATTCCAGAAGACATGATCTCGGCCTAGATAAGTCGGCCCGAGAAGAGAAGAGCTCAACCTGAGTGAGCAGATCCAAGATTCCAGAAGACAAGAGCTCGGCACTTAAATCCGAGAAGAGAAGAGCTCGGTGAGCAAATCTCAGATCCCAGAAGATAAAAAAGAAAACACATAAGATCGGACTGAAGTTAGCCAAGATGAAGACCTTTTATAAAGTCCACAAAGGAGTATGTGGAAGCTATGCAGGGGGCAGATCCCTTGCCCACAAAACCATATCATAGGGATTCTGGTGACCCTACGTACAAAAGGATGCAGAGGCTTATAAAAACATGAGAAAGGAAACGGCTCGCCGAAGCGAGGCCGAGGTAACAATGGATCCAGCAAGCAAGAGGCAGAGAGAAGAAGAATATGTTTAACGCTTGTTGAAACTTGAGAAAAGTTTACAAGCAGAGTTAAACCGAGATGATGTTTAACACTTGCTGAAATTTTGAGAAAATTTACAAGTTGAAGTTAAATCGAAGCAATGCTTAACACTTGTTGAAATTTGTAGCAATTTACAAGTTGAAGTTAAGCCGATATATGATGTTTAACACTTGTTGAAATTTGTAGCAATTTACAAGTTGAAGTTAAACCGAGATTATTGTTTAACACTTGTTGAAATTTGTTGCAATTTACAAGTCGAAGTTAAACCTAGATGATGTTTAACACTTGTTGAAATTTGTAGCAATTTACAAGTTGAAGTTAAATCGAGATGATGTTTAACACTTGTTGAAATTTGTAGCAATTTACAAGTTGAAGTTAAACCATGATGATGCTTAATACTTGTTGAAATTCTGAGCGAATTTACAAGTTGGAGTTAAGCCAAGAAATGAAGATTAGCTTAAACACTTGTTGAAATTTTGAGAGAATTTACAAGTTGGAGTTAAGCCGAGAAACGAAGATTAGCTTAACACTTGTTGAAATTCTGAGAGAATTCACAAGTTGGAGTTAAAGCCGAGAAACGAAGATTAGCTTAACACTTGTTGAAATTCTGAAAGAATTCACAAGTTGAAGTTAAGCGAAGAAACGAAGATTAGCTTAACACTTGTTGAAATTCTGAGAGAATTCACAAGTTGGAGTTAAGTCGAGAAACAAAGATTAGCTTAACACTTATTGAAATTCTGAGAGAATTTGCAAGTTGGAGTTAAGCCGAGAAACGAAGATTGGTTTAACACTTGTTGAAATTCTGAGAGAATTTACAAGTTAAAGTTAAACTGAGGTCATGATTGAGAGAAGATTGGTTTAACACTTGTTGAAATTTTGAGAAAATTTACAAGTTGAAGTTAAACCAAGGTTATGAAGTATCTATACACGTGATGAGATAACCATGTTGCCAAGACTTGGAAGAAATTTGAAGACAGAAGTCTTGCTAAGAGTGAAGTATCAAGTTGTAAATAACACTTATGGAAATATTATGATAAATATCTTCAAGTGTTAGGTCGAAGCTGAGATAAACCGATTAATGGGTACAACCGAGGTGTTATACCCCGAGGAGATTGCACAGTTAAGGTGTATCCTGAAGACGGACATATGACTCAGGGCTACAGAGCACTAAAAGCTCACTTAGAAGATCTGATGAGGCCAGACCATCTAAAAGGACCTCGTCGATGAGACCAGAACAAGGGAAGAACAGGCAAAACTGCCTCAAGTGCCAGCAGCTCCGCCTCTCCCAGCACAGCAACCTCAGGCAGGAGGACCTCATGTAATTAATGTAATTCACTCGAGGGTCAACGAGGACGAAATTAGGGGGGAGACTCAGAAGGTGAAGCACCTACAACATGTCTACCAAGTCGGGGACAAGAGACATTGGGCAGATGAGTGCTTGGAACCAGTAGTGTCTTTTACTGAAGCCGGCCTCGAGATGGTCCAACACCCGCATAATGATGCTTTGGTAGTATCCCTCCAGGTTGGGGAGTGCCAAGTGAAACGCATCTTGATTGACCAAGGAAGCTCTTGTGACATCATGCATGCCCGATGTTACAAGGAGCTCGGCCTTCATCCAGACGATATAGAGCAACCCAATGGCCCAATGGTTGGGTTCATTGGAACGCCGACATGGCCACTGAGAGCAGTAAGCTTGGAGGTGCAGGCTGGCACCAGAAAGATCACAACAGAATTCACTATCATCGACACTCCATCTCCTTACAAATCTTGGGAAGATCATGGTTGCATGCAATGGGGGCAGTTTCCTCAACATTGCATCAACTATTGCGGTTCCCAACAAAACATGGGATTGAAGAAGTCAGAGGAGACCAACTGCAGGCAAAAAATTGCTCCATGGCAGCAATGAAATCCACCTGCAACATTTGAGAACCAGAGAAGGCAGAGATTGAAAACGAGGACATAGAGGTCCTAGATGATGTCGGCAAGGAGCCAGCCGAGAAGACTGAAGAGGCACTGAAGAAAATCCTCGTCCAGGAGGGGGACGAAGAACGCTTCTTTCTTCTTGGCTCAGGCTTAGCCGAAGAAGAAGAAAGAGAATTAGAAGCTTTTTTGAGAGCAAACATTGAAGTATTCGCTTGGACACCTTACGAAATGCCTGGCATTGACCCCGAGGTCACTTGCCACCAATTGAACGTCGACAGGTCGGCCAAACCTGTAATACAATGAACAAGAAGACCGCCGTTGATGCACGAAGAAGCAGTGAAAGAAGAAGTAGATAGACTTCTGGAGGCCAGGGCCATCAGAAAAGTCAATTACTCGACAT